GGAATGCTAGTGCATAGATTTCACTCCATCGTGTTTTGATCATACAACAGAGACCGTGCCTCTTAATTGTGATATAAATACGGTCATCAGCCAATAAGATCGCAGGTTGTATCTCGAAAATATCAAAAAATTCTCTTGTAAGTTAGAAGCTCATACAATAAATTTGTTACTTCACGCCCTTAAATTTGTTTTTCCATTGAACACTAGGAAAACAGAACTATAATTCATGATCTCGAGAACAAACTGGATGTACTTACTAAGAAGCTTAGCCTTGCCAATGACGAGAAAGCGGTACGTAATCAAAKTGAACAAAACATTGCTTATGGGGAGAGGGGCTTAGTAGGGTTGTAACATAYTCAAGGTTAAGGCAGATCGGGCTTAAGTTTACGGCTGCTTCGCCGATTCTGCTCCTTATTTSTTAATTTAGGTATTGAAAAGGAGGTTTATTATGTTTAGTATTCAAGATTTTTTTCAAAGTTCAGTATAAATATAATCAATATCTTCGACTTCCTATGATTGTGAATGCTCATATTCATCACCATGGTAGCACCGATAATCTGTTTTAGTTTGAATACCAGAGATATTATGATCGTTGGTTTTGGAACTTGACTGAGAGGTTTTTAATATTTTACACGTTTTGCTTTAGTTAACAAATTGTTTTCGTTGTAAACGCTTTAAGCTTTTAATTCGTGAAGTACATTAATATTTCATTATAACTCTTCCTAGACAATCAAACAAAATGTATTAATTTTAGATAAAAACACTTGCTATATCAAGTTTCCTACTCTCGCGAAAGTATCATTACTTAAAAACCGATACCTCGGGAAAATTTGTAAAAGTCCCTCGGGCGCAAAGCTCAAATTAATCAAGTGTATACAGCTTGGAATACGCTGTGTCCTAAAAGAGAACATTGTTTTTATGCAAGACCTTAATTGGCCTTTTTTTGGGCTTTAGAATAACGAGGCAGAAATTGAAGATATCTTCAAGGCCCACGACGAGCTTGAAATCAAGTACAACGACGAAGTTCGAGAGAAAAAGGTTGGRTGATTGATTTAGTATTTGATTGCAGAAGAGGTTAATTTTCTGGTGGATTAATGTATTGTTAGGTTGAAGTGTTATGTACTACGTTAATTGTCCTATAAATAGAAGCTTCAACGAAACGTTCACTGGAAAAAATCGCGCGCTTTAAAGGTTGTAAATTTGATGTAAWTATGATGTAAGTGTCCAAAATTCTGTAAATTTAATGGAAATCATTTACATCAAATTTACAGAATTGTGGACACTTACATCACATTTACATCAAATTTACAACCTTCAAAGCGCGCGATTTTTTCCAGTGGTTGGACGTCCAAAGGCTAGAACAGATAGCTGTTTGCTGACTGTTTGTTTACTTAGTATCTTAGAATGATCACTAATAATCCTCTTTAATTCTTCAGGAATTACTTGAATACGTAGAAAGACTCCACGAAGAGCAGGAAGACCTTCAGGCACAATACGGTGCTTTGTCCAAAGAACATAAGGTTTGATATTTATCAAATCATGTACATACAGTTACAATGAACGTTTATTCCGATCATAATCCATATGTCCAACCTTGCCACAATCCATCTAATCATCCAGGGGGCGAGGGCATCCAGTCAGCAATCTCTTTATCGTTCCTAATAATATACCATNTCTCGTCAACTTAATGACGAATCTCAACAATACCAACAAGTGCAAGATTTGCAGCAAATCAACACTTCGTTACAAGAGGTGACTATTAACGGACGGACTAAAATACAGTCAACTCTCTCGTAAGCGACCACCTCGGGATCTGGAAAAAGTGGTCGTTTACGAGAGATGGTTGTTTACGAAAGAGTTTTTTTTACATAGTTAATATGGGAAACAATTATAACGGGAAATTTAAAAGGTAGTCGCTTACGGGAGATGGTCGCTTACAAGAGTGGTCGTTCAAAKAGAGTCAACTGTATACGCTAGTACCCTGAAACTGATGCTTGAATRTAACATTTGMATTTTCCAGGAATTCGCTCAACTGAAAGAAACTTGTGATACTCTGAACACGTCATTTGAAGACAAAGACCAAGAAGTGAACGAAGTGAAGGAAGAACTAAAGCATAAAGTCCAAGAACTTGAAACTCTCAGTGCTCAACTTGAGGAAGTGAAACTTATCCTACAAAATAAGGAAAGTGAGTTAGATGTTTCTTTACAAGCCAATGAGAGGAATCAGCAAGCGTTGAAAGATCTTGAAAAAGAACTCGAARCRACAAAAGAAAGTTTACAAGAAAARGAGCAAGAAACAGCGAAGTCCGAACTTGAGAAAACGAACCTAGAGGAATTGCAGTTTTCCAAATCTCAACAGGAAGACATCAACTTAACTCAAACTATCCAAGAGTTGGAAWATACAATAGAAGTACTAAGAACTGAAAAGGATGAACTAGCTAATTTATTGCAGTCTCAGAACAAGCAAATTGATGAACAAACAAATGAGATTTCTAATTTGAACAGTATCTGTGAAGAACGAATCATAGCAGTCGAAGCCCAAGAGGAAAGCGTCCAAGTTTTGACTTCAAAGCTGCAAGAACAAGAGGAGGAACTTCAAAATAATATCAACCAAACTGAACAGTTAAAGGAACTTCTGAGACGGTCAGAAGAAGAGCTTAGCTTACTAAAAGCCGACTTGGAAGGTAAAGACGTTGATTGTGCTAGAATAACCGAAGAAAGAAGCTCGCTAAAGGAGGAATTTCAAACTTTAAGCGATGATTTGAGTAAATGTAATAAGCAATTGAACATAAAAGAAAAGGAGCTTGAAAACTTTCAGTTAGTTGTTGAAAGTCTTAATGAGAAAGTAGAACTAAAAACGCAAGAGCTATTCGATTTGAATGAGCAAAATAAGAAACAAAGAAAAGAAATAGAATCTCTGAAGTTACACATTGACGAATTGAGCGGGAAAAGTCAAGTGTGCAACGAACTTGAAACTAAACTCCAAGAACAGTTTGAAATCAGCCAGAATTTGAAACTGGAACTCAAGTGCTTACAGGAAGACTTTGAGTACAAGGAAAACGCTTTCGAAGAAGAGAGAAAGTTCAAAGAGAACGACAGCACTCGAGAAGTGGAAGGCTTCAAAGAGGAACTTGAACGCAAGAACCAGGAGATACTTGCTTTACATGAAGAACTAAACTCGAATAATCAAGCCCTTGAAAACGCACAGCAAGAATCGGCATTACATAATGAACATTTGGTACAGAACCTGAACTCCTTGGAAGAAACGTGCAATGCTAGAGGGAAAGAAGTTCACGAGCTGCAAGAAGAAATATCGACTTTGAAAGAGAAACTAGATCAAAAAGAGGTAGAGCTGCAAGATTCTTCGGGCACTGAGGCACAACTTCGCTCAACTATTGCATCACTAGAGACGAGTGTTCAATCCCAATCAGTTGAGCTTCAAGAGTCGCTTGCTAAACTAGAAGAGAGAAAAAGGCAGAACGAGTCACTGCAGTCGTACATGTCAAGCATGAGTGGGAAAATGGAAGGCCAGGAAGAAGTGGTTTCCAGTTACACGACACAGATTGAACAATTGAAGAAAGAACTGGAGGACGCAGCATCAAAGCGTGGTATGTGTGAACAGTGTTGCAACTCTCGCTATAGCGGACACCCTCAGGACCTTAATTGAGTGTCAGCAATAGCGAGCGTCCGCTGTAATGAATGCATGCTTTTTTAGTTAATATTGCTTCAATAAGAGCTTTGAAGAATTCTTTCATTTATTTATTATTTTGGTTTACTAAAGAAATCAAGTGTATAAAAAACATTGTATTTTCAGACGAACTTAAAACTCAAATGAAGGGCAAGGATGAAAAGATGGCTAAACTCAAGCAAGTAGCCATCAAAGCTAAAAAAGAATTGGAAAATGTTAAGCAACAGGTCAGTGGCCAATGCCAAGCACTTCTTTTATAACCATCATGACAAGATTGGGTCAGTTTTGTGTAGTTATTGTCATCTTTGTCAATTTTCCAGGCCAAAGCAGATAAAGAAGAATTGATGTCAGTCATTCAAGGCATGAAAGAAGATGCAGACACCATAAATAGCAAAATATCACTKCAACAAGATGAAGAATGCGAGAACTCTAAGGCGCTTGGAGAGTTTCAAGAACAGTTAGACAAAGTGCAAAACGAACTCATCCAAGAGAGGAACAGGTGTGAATAATTGAATACATGGTTCTTATTTAGTCATCATCATCATCATCGTCATCATCATTATCATTCACCTTGTCGTGATCATATTCATCATTTGCGTCTCCGTTTAACCATTAATGTCCGTTTTTGTATACGAGCCTATATGATCGTAACAGTGCAATACTGCGTTTTATTTAAGGTCTGCAGAAAGCGAGGAAAAACTCATCTCTGCTGCTACTGAGCTTGGACATGTCAGAGAAGAACTTGAAACAGTAAAAAACGAAAGGCAGACTCTTTGCTCCGAACGAGATTCGATCCTTAATGAAAAACAGGTACTCAAGATGAATCGATAATTGACTGTAAGAATGACAAACGATTAAAAACAATCGATCTTTTATCATTGTATTGATAGTATTTCTAAAAGACAATGCTTGTTTCCTTGTAGGATCTAGAGAAAGAAATCGAAAGCTACAAGTATCAAGTAGAGGAAATAAACACAAAATTACAAGAACGAATCAGCGAGAATAAGGTATGAGAAAAATTAGTGCGAATGGCGAGCAAGTCACGAACAAATTACGAATGCATCGCGAAAAAAAACATGAGCTATCGATAATCAAAAAGCACAACTTCTGAGTTGTTAATCATTATTGATATCAAATTATTTATTGAAATCATTCATMTAGGATCAACAGCAGACACTTGAAGAACGAAACGCAGAAATTTCTCGTTTGTCTAAAGAACTGGTTCAAAGAGAGAAAGAACAGGAGAAGGCCAGTAAAGATCTTATTGAGGTTGGTATGCAGCTATTTTAAAGAGGGTTATCTTATATGTTAGGGAATGTACGTTTAACTTGTTTCAGACTATGAAAAAGATGGAATCTACGCAAGAGGAATTTGAAAAAGAAAAGAAAGCTCACGAGGAACTAAAGGCGCAGCTTGAATCAGTTAAGAAACAACTGGAACAGGCTGAGAAGGTACATTTTAGCGATCAAGCCTTGCATTTTTATCACTTTAGTATTGCTGGTCTAGCCTGTAAAGCGGAAAGGAGATAAGGAGAAAAGAAACTTGGAAGGAAGGGAAGCGAGGGCTTCCATCCCTTACCCGCTTCACTGCAGGCCCATTTTAAAAGGCAGTCATTTATTCCTTTGATCAACCATTTTCTTATATTCTCATGCATTTTCATTGTCATCCATTCGATCCTTACCAAATCTATGCATCTATTCTTACATCCATTCATCCTCGTTTCACCCATTCATTCTCCCATCCACTTGCGTCAAGAATCATTTCATTGTCTCGTTTTACAGAGCGCAACGCAACAAAGTATGATGAGCCTTGAGATCGCCGAATATGAGCGCACCCTGGAATCACTGCAAAGTAAACTTGACGATCGCGTCCAACAGCTGCAAGATGCGCAGGATGAAATAGATCGTCAGGAGAAAAGAGTGGAGGACTACAAGATGCAAGTCGGTGAGAATGTTGTTTATATCTTTCCGTGAATATGATTGAACTGAGAGACAATCTGGGTATAATGTGAGATTTAAACCACGTGATTATCAAACCGTTCAAAGGCGAYTAGCGTTAATCCAGGGTTAACTTATCTACACCAGGAGAACCATGGTTAAAAGTGACACTGAAATGTAGAATCGTATGGAATATCTTAAGGTTTTTTGTTTAATCAATCTCAGATGCAGTTGATAACCAGCGACAACAGAGCGAAGAACGCTCCATAAAGCTAAAAGCGATGCTGGTTAAGATCAAGAAAGACTTGGCTGAAAACAAACGAGAGCTCGAAGAGAAATCATTGTCAGAAGCCAAGCTAAAGGCTGAACTTGAGGTTGCTACACAGAGAGGGGAAGAGGACAAAGT